TCAAACCAATATGAGAGAAGCGATTCATGACGTGTTACAACGTATGATGGATTTGTCTACTAAGCACCTTCAAGAGTGCATCATTGATCAAGGGGAGAATTTACTACTTTCTGTTCTAAAACATTGAACAGTATATGTACGTATATATATATAATATTTTATTCCATAATTTCTGTTATATTTTGATGTGTAAGCTTTTATTATTTACCCAATTGAACAGAATCTATTCACAAATAAATTGTCTTCTTTGCCAGATACTGTATTTTAAAGATACCTCGTCTGTAAGATGTTCACCAAACCAGCATATTAGAAACGTAGGAATCCAAACTGTAATCACGCCACTCATAAATTTTATGGAGCCAGTAGATCCTTTGCCCTGTAAAAAATATTACACTGTTTAGATTCTTAATTAAATTATTATTGTTGCTATTATTATCGCTTTGTCAAATGTGTCTGAACATGTTAGCAGACATGTTTTTTCTTCAGACAGAAACTAGGTCTCAGCAACATAAGTATTTCTGTAATGATGTATGTTATGTTTTGGTGCAAAGAGAACATCATAACTCAAATTATTAAATGCCTTATAGAACCTGCTTGCTCATATAAATCTACCACCTGCCTAAAAATACAGATATCAACATTTTTGCTCAAGTTGACAGTTTTTGTGAAACTTGACATGAATATCATGTCTTTGTAAACCGCTGCCCTTTGGTACCTTCCGTCATCACAAGTACAGTAGAGTCCCGTTTATCCGACATTCTGTTTTATCGGACCGCGCGTGATTACGTTGAACAACAAAGGAAGGCGACCTCTCAGACACTGGCGCCATCTTGTCACAAAGAAGAGGAAGGAGGTTCAGAAGCAAATACCCATTACTGATTTCGGAAACAAACTCTTTCATTTACAGACTTACATTATGTTAAATTCTGTTTTTGTTTTTGAGATTTTTTTTCATTTGATGTCGTATTATATTTTCTTCAGATTGTGTTATAAATTGGGTTGATACTTAACCTAGTGTTTTTAATTGGTCTTCCGTATTATCCGACATTTTCGATTTTCCGACAGTCCTTCGATCCCGTTTAGGTCGGTAACCGGGTCTCTACTGCACCAACATTAAGATCGTGTGAGATTTTGATGTGGGAACATCAGTACCTTTCAATTTTGAAATTGTTCGTCTTCAAAATGTGGATCACGGAACGTCAAACTCATATGGTGCCTTAGTATAAACGCGTGTAGTGATAAACGGTACTTTGGAAAATACAAAGAACAATATGCCAACGGCAAGAGCTTTAAACATTTTTTTAGATTCCTTTACACTGTCTTACTCTCTACTGTCAGATTTTAAGTATTGTGATAAAGAAATGCTTACCAGAGTTGAAAGAACGACTGCAAGGCACATCATAACGCCATTCAAAGAAAAGAATATGAAGAGCAGTGTACCGAAGATAGCGTCCACGTCTTCGACGTATCTAGAATATAGAACTTAATCATTATCAGTGCTTTACATAAGATGTTCGTTATTTATGAAGTAGGAACTTCACTGACACAAGATTTATAAGGACATTACGAAGTCCATCTTTTATATGTAAGTAAAATTCTTGTTTCCTTCTTCTCTCGGTGTGGTCCGAATTGCTAGGTGGCCGCATAATGCATAAAACGATTTTTATAAATCACTGTTTCTAATGGTTTTATACGGTAGTAGCAAAGTAACTGGTGAAAAACTGAGAAATACTTACATTTGTTATGTCTTCTGTACTCGAAAGATTGTCATATTCTTCGTCATTCGGTAGGCGTCATTGAATATAAGAGAAATAATTATTATTCGTAAACCAAAATATCTTCTACAGTAAATAGTTTCAAAGAGAAACTTTGACAACTGAACGTCTGGCAACGGTATGCGTCGCGAGGCTCTCTTTGCTTTTTTCGTTATCCTCATTCGTTGTCTCGACATCGAGCGTCTCTACGATCGGCACCAATTATCCGTCCCTAGATATTACTTCGCTATAATCGAAAACTTCAGTCGGCTTTGGACGATACGCATCACGAAGATCGTTGTCCGTGAAGTAGCGCCGAGTTATATGACGTCCTGAGGGGGGTTTTTTCCACTTTATTCGGATAGTTGCGTCGGCGTCTGGACGAAAAGCCTCAGGTTAGGTTAGGTTGCGTTAATGTTGGTCTGGTTAGAGCAGCGTAGATTATATTCTGTTAGGTTATGTTAGGTTCGATTAAATTAGTTTATGATGGGCTAGTTTTAAGTGCAGGAACTAAATGCAAGTGTCTCTGAAAAAGGGAAGAATGAAATCTAGCGGCTAAGTGTTTAGTTAGTACTGCAACTTCAGGTTCAGGAGCTACCGGGTTCATATCTCGGCACAGAGATGAACTATCCTAACTGTCGTTTCTCAGATATTCTGGTAAATTCAAGTTTGTACATTCAATAATGCCAAGACCGCTTGCTTCTATATCCTTTTAAATTCTTTGTGTATTAATCTCTGAGCTTCTGACAGCGTCATTAAATACACACATAATACATACGTACGTGATACATACACACACAAACACATACACGTAACATAATTTACTTACTGAAGAAGGGCTTGGTGATATTTCACGCAGTTAACTAAGTAGTCTTCAGCTATTGGGATACTCGTTATATGCCGAGGATCCAAGGAGTGATATTCTTCCAGTTGCGAATTTTTCTTCCTGTTGCTATCCGTTTCATCTTGACCAGAAAGCTTTGAAAGCATGTCCGTCGCGAAGCCCGTCCCGCCATCAAGAAAACTCCGGATTCCATTTTGTTCGGAACTCTTTGTGTTGTCCGATGACGTTATGTACTGATCAATATCTTCCAACAGTGTGGCGAGTACTTTAAAATGAGCTGCCGTGTAAATAGTAAGTGCGTAATACATCGAGTTGTATCCTATATTATCAGTAAGTAAATTTATTATTAAAACCACTTGATACGTATAAATGAAATGGTAAGTTGGATGTTCCAAGGCGCCTGGTGGTAGCCACATTCTGTAACTTAAATGCTCCCAATGTATTTTATCTTCGCCGTCTTTTTCCTTCGCATTATGTATGTGCCAAAAAATATTTGGAATTGCCAACCAGAGAAATCCTGTTATAACAATTGAGATTATAAATATCAATGTGTATTGTCTAATCTTCTTTTTAGCGTCACTCATGATGAGTGTGTGTTTCGTTTCTAAAGGAAGTTTGCTTGTGAATTCCGCAAAGGCCTCGTTGGTTTTTAGGACCAGGTGCTCCAAAGCCTTTCTCTGAGTCAGTAAGTAACTTGAGATGGAACAATGAAGAAGTGCTGCTATAATTGTGAAAAATGTGTCTGTAAGTTCTGTTATATTTTCAGATTCCAAATACAAAGCATAACACTGGGCACTGACTGATGGTACATACATTAGAAGACTGCATACTGAGTACAAGTTAAACATTCGTAGTTTCCATGGGGAGGATCTTATATTTTCGTTTGGCAGGATCGCTCCGTATAGAAAACATTTCAGTTGTATGTCCAGAATTCCGCCTGATGACTCTTCATGTGGATTATTTCTTGAAGCTCGAAATACTCCAAAAACCATTTCTGGAATTTATTAACGGTTAAACATGTTAGTGAAATCAGTATTTATATGAAGCTGAGATGTTGCTCCATGGTGTAGTCTAGTACAGTGGTATTCAACCTGGGGTGCACGTACCCCCAGGGGTACGCGAAGCTATCTTAGGGGGTACGTGAAATTTAAAAAAATATATATATTATTTTATGATAAACACTGAATAATCAGTAATGTAATTTATTTAATTTATTTTAGATGTAGATTATATACACTTGAATTAAACACCAACAACTTTGGGGGTACAAAGTTGAAGAAAAATTATATCTGGGGGTACGCGAACAAAAAAGTTTGAATACCACTGGTCTAGTATATCTTGATCGTCATTCATCGCCTTGCTGATGGAAGCAGTGAACTCCTGCCAAAAGTCGATTAGTATCTACCAGGCGACACGGAGCAGCATCCCAGAAGACTGACATCTTCATACTCGCCACTGTGAGAACCTGAAACCTCACCTAGTATTCATTTTATTTTTATTTCGTGTTTCTAGGAAGAATTTGATGTTTTGATTGGATTAATATGCCGTTAGTGTGATTTGAAAGCAAATTATATTTAGTTCTGACGGTGGCAGCTGCGGTAGCAAGACATTTAAACGATACTATGGTGGCGCCTATTGTGGGGTTATGGTAGAAATTTAATGAATTTTGAACTTTCAATACAGTTTGGAAAGACAGTGTCGCAACAAATTGTATTAATTTTCAACGAAAATAGATTTATTCCAGTCTCCATTGACAGCCATGCGCTACTTAACACACGAGTATAATAGGAAAGTGTCTATAAACTATTTGTTATGAACGAGTCAACATAATGATATACAACTTGAAACTCGGACTAGCCCTTAGTGAGATTAATATGCAGTAAAATTATGCGTACGGAGCAGAAAACTGAAAGAAACATTTTATTGTCGCATTTATATGTGATTAGAATACCAAATATTAAAGTATGTAAGAAGAAAAATGCACGCATAATATCAATTAATAATATATGGCAGAGAAAGAAAAAGAGTCTAAAGATTTAACATTAACTGGTCTAATAGCACGTTTTTGTTTTGTTTTTTAGTGTAAAGAATGTATTATATAGCTCCGTTAAAAACGTTGTCCTGCCATTTTATTTTAATGCTGCTTGTCTTAAGCACTGATTGATAAGATTCGGAGAATTAAGAATGTAACTAGCACTAGTACTAACGAACGTGACTGTAACAATCGATGCCAGTTTTCACATCCTGTAGATAATATTACAGACATTGATAATGTTGTTAGATTTTGGGAATTAACGACATGAAGTAGATAGTGGTACAGTTCAAAAAACTTTTTCTCTGTAGTGTTTATATTAATTCATTTTAATTTACTACACACAACTTTATACTCACGTTGTGTAGTTAACGCTACTCAAATCGATGCTCTAGGATCTTCAGGTGGTCACTTTGACACTATTTCGTACATTTTTTAAACCAGATAATCATAATGTGAATTTGATACAAGTGCTTCAAAACTCGTTATGAAAAGTCTACGATATACAGAGTGACAAAAACGTCCCTGTGCACATGCAAGATCAGATGTTAGAATTGTCTGAATTAATTCCCAGATCTTGCAGGCGCACAGGGTCTTTTGAATCACGCCGTACGTAGTGAATAGACAGGGATTTGTATAATTATAAATACGATTAATCTGAGATAATTCGTAGGTTTGTGCTTGTATTAGGCTGTTGGTACACACGGTACTGGGGATACTGGGAACGACCCGCTCTTCATGTGCCTGAGCACTGCGGGTCCCAACTTTTCGTTGGCTTGATCTATAGACATTCGGTAGGACTCCTTGGACGAGGGATCGGCCCGTCGCAAGGCCTCTACCTGTACACAGGACAGCACAACACAGAAAAACGCAGACAAACATCCATGGCTTGAGTGGGATTCGAACCCACGGTCCCAGCGACCAAGCTACACAAGACTCACGCCTCAGACCCCGCGGCCACACAGTAGTAGTGATATTTACCTGGATCGGACAGACTTTGAATTAGAGTACTATTTTTATTTGTGTTTGCAATTCCGATAGCTTAATCTGAAAGCAGCGGTGGAAGTGAACGCCACGACTGGTTGGCCTTGTTTCAGAATGATTTGTCTTTGAGGGTTTTCTTATGTTTTACCTGAAACAGTTACCTGCATGTTTCTTTACTTATTCATGCTTAAAATTAACATGTGTGGATAAGTTTGTCGTGACATAACTGCTGGCGACTTCTTATTCTCTTGCATATTTATAGATAAGGAGCTGGAAGACACGTATATAATAAGTTATTACTGACCTAATAAATAGAGAGCCAAGTATTTATGAATATGAAGATACTTGCTGGAATAGTGTTCCAAACAGTCAGCCTCAGAACGTACGTCCTTTAGAATTTGTATTCCATATTTTGTTATGCGTCTGCATCAAAATACATTCCTATTTTACCACTGGTATCACACTACTTTGAGGCAAACTGATATGCAAGTTCGATACATTTCTACATCAAAATAACTTTTAGATGTGTTAAGAACGCATTTATAAATTTACTTATGACTATCAGAAAGTTGTAGTCACATCTATCAATCTACAGGCAACAGTGTCTAACTATGGGGACGGTTTTGATTAAATTCGGTTTTATATTTATCAGCGGTAGGCTTAGTATTGCAAACGCACACCAAATTATATTAAATAATTTTGACTTGGAAATGTTTAGTTTGTTTTAAGGGTGACTATACTTACAATCCTAACTGAACTGTTTTATATATTTATATATATATATATATATATGTGTGTGTGTGTGTGTGTGTGTGTTTGTTTCTTTGTTTGTTTCTTTGTTTCTTTTAGTGCATTGAAAATTCTGATATACAACACGACAATAAGCAGCCAACCAACTCCAAGAAAATATCCATCTTTTGGGTTGTTGCGCCGTGAAGTCTAGTGGAAGTTTGCAGATGTTCTGAGATGCTTCCCGTCTCTGAAACGACGGCAAACTTCTACCAGACTTCCTCAGCATCTAGTTCTCAAACGTCATCAGTGACTATCTAACAATTTTCGTCGTACTCCCATTCTGGTTCCACAGGTCAAATATAGGCTGCTCTTTTACGATCTGTCAATACTATCTTATTTGGTATCCTCTTTAAGGTATTCTCACTCGATGCTATGTAGGCTTAACTATTTAACATTTTTCGTTCAAGAATTTTATCCGTTTTTATTCATTGAGACTAATTGTTCAGGCTGTACATTGAGAAACCAGAGCTGAATGTAAGAAACAAAAATATTTCAGTCTTGACACACTAATAAATGAGTATGAAACTAGTTGAAAAAAACAATGAAACAATCATAACATCTGTTAAACCTTTGTTAACAACGCATTGCAACAAGGTAATTCAATGTCTGAAAATAAGTGTACGAGGAACGAAGTTTCACAGAATAAAATATGAAAGTAAAAGTCTAAATTATGAATAAAGTCTTGTAATTAAGGCGGGGTAGCCTAATAGAGACGGTTGTTAAAGGTTTATGTACACTTGTATTTAATTTTCTCAGAACGCATCAATTCCGTTTTTGAAATGTAAAACTGCGCCATGAATGGAAGCTTGCTTTAGTGTCATAGAATTTACGATGGTTACCAAATTTGTAGCGAGTATATGAACTGGTACAGTGGAGTCTGTGTTGCCTTATCTGGTAACCATATTCTGTAGCAGAAATATTTCCACTGCCCTTCATCATAATTATTATTTGTTACGCTTCGAATAAATCATAAGATAAAAGGAAATATAGTCCAAAAAATATAAGCAGTTGTTGATAGTACTGCCCTAGTTAAGATGCCTGTTGTACCGCAGACATAATTGCCTCTCTTGTGTTTACTCAAGATTCTAGCATATGCTTCAGAACCGTGAAGAATGCGTACACCTTATTCCCTACCTGAAAAAGAAGAGAAATAAGCCACTTTACTGACTACGGTCTCAGTAACATTTCCTTTATACATAGAGAACACACATGAAGGATTGTCTTCTGGGTTGTTTCGCCCTGATGATGGAGGCAGCAAGGACCTCTGAAACGTCGGCAAACTTCTACCAGACTACACGGCGCAACAACCCAGAAGACAGCAGTCTTTAGAGAACACACATGTACGCTGAAGGCATGAATCTATACACTGGTCTTACATCAGCGAATGTCTGCAAGGATACAATGTAGAATTTTCCTGCCGTAAGTCGTACTGGATACTGGGAGCGTAAGATGATCATGTGCAGAAGTTTCTTGACTCTAGTCGAGCGATTGTACCAGCTGGAGTTGTAGGCAGCGTACTTGACAGCAAGGCTCTTGTAAAGTGCACAATGGAAGCACATTGCATTATTAGGCGATACACTGACCTTTGTGTTTTTTTGTTAAAATTGTTCAAGGCGAAATATACATCTGAATACACTGTAAAGTCGACCCAAAGTCTGACATAAACAGAATCGACATAGATCTGTCATCCAACTGATATAACCTGCTACCTATATTACCAGGGCGATCGCCCTGGCAATGGAGGCGGCGAACACCTCTGAAACGTCGATAAACTTCTACCAGACTAAACGGCGCGACATCCCAAATGACAGTCGTGTTCATACACGCCGCCGTTAGAACGTGAAATCTTGGCTAAATTTTTATTGATTTTCACTCAGTTCCTAATTCAGATTTTAATGTCCCAGTCGCGAAATGCAATATTGTACGAAACTAACCTGCTCGGACAGATAATCGCCATACCAGCAGATCATCAGAGGCCAGGCAATTGTGTCGACGACACTGGTGAAGAATTTGAAGTTTCCGTCGCTGAGGCCCTTAAAGGGAAATGTAGACCCTTAAGATATTATCACAATACGCATGTTTGTTTATCAGTATAAATTTTTCTCCTGTAAATGTTCTTAAAATTTGTTTTCGTTGTATTACATAAGGTAAAGCAAAGAGACAGTTGAACAAAGAATCCTAATTTTTAGAATAGTTGAGAAATCATTGGATTAATAATGTATTCTACAATAATCAGTTATGTAAGGAAAATAGCTATAGATCGTTTTTAATAAATTTTTTAAACCCCGTCTTTTTTGCCATCTCTCGTAGGGTAGGTAAGAAGACGCAATATGGGTACGAGAGATGGCTTATCGGAAAACACGTGTTTGTAACCCGTAAGAAAAAGATCCATTTAAGGTACCGTAATTGTATATGTTTCTAAAAACGAATTACTACCGCTTTGTAAATCTTGTTGCGTTCAAATGTCAAGATTCATATTTTGCTTTTATACGAATTAAATATAGAAATTAAAACTTTGACTTGCAACACCTGTCCATGAAATTATAGTGTTTAAATCACGCAAAACTGCACACATTAGTAAATGAATTGATCAACGTATACTTTCTTTGTTTCTCGCACTGCGCTGACCGCTATTGCTGTCGCGGGCTGTACCTTACAGTATTATCATTGTGGTTTTCGATGATTAAAGTTTAGAAATCATTTTCTTCGTTACTATGCCTAATAATTCTTAATCAGTGTGTGTGGAACTGGGCGACACTGAAGCTTCGTATGAAGTATTCCACATCATGTCTATAAATACTGTACTTTCAGTCAGATTTCTTTAATACATTTATATTGACGTCTACACAATTCTTATACAACAATAAATTACATTAAATATATCCATTGATTTTCAATGTTGACGTTTCAGAAACTTTGACCGCGTAATTTATATAGAGCACAAACAAATACACTCAGTAGAATATCAGTTTATAATTATAATCGATTACGAGTTTGTGAATTGTGAATCACTTACCAGTGCTAATTGAAAGGCCGAGAAGCAAACCATTGCCTCACTCCCGAGGAAGAAGACTAAAAGTACGGGACTCAGAAATGCGTTGACTTCGGCGCAGAAACTGGAATCATATTTGTATTTTGTTAGATATTTTTGCTTGTCGCCTTAGATTTTAATACAATAGTATTATCTTCTTTTTTAAATCAAAAAGAACATTACATGTTACGAATTTTCGTATATAATAAATGTTTATTATTACAGTTAATATATTCAAATACGTTTCATAATGAAGATTTTTACCATAAGAGAACGTTAATTTAAGGTGTTTGAGAACAGTATGATGAGAATGTTTGGACCTAAGTGAGATGAAGGTAGGAGAATGGAGAAAACTGCATAGAGAGGAGCTTAATTTTTACTTCTCGCCAAATGTTAATGGGTAATAATATTAAGGAAATTAGATGGATAACGTATATAGTACGCATGGGAGAAAAAATATCTATAAAGTTTTTGGCCGGACAACCGAGAGGCTACTTGGAAGACCTGTGAACAGATGGTAGAAAAATATTAAAATTAATCTTAAGTAAATAGGGTTGTTGTTTGTGGATTGGATGCATTAGTCTTGTACAGGGGTCAGTGTCGGGCTTACACACTGATGAACAGTCTGTGTTTGAATCGGACCGCTTATTTGAAGTCATAAATATAGATAATTAAGAATATGCACCGTATAAGTCGCTTATGCATGACACTTAGTACCGGTATTTATTACTAAATGTTTGATTTAGGAATGTCTCATTTAAACAAATCTGTTATACTCACTTGAGCAGTGCCTGGTGATACTTTACGCATTCGATCAAATACTGGTAAATCTTATCATCCCGCAGTGAATCGCTTGTAGTTTGTTCCCCCGATTCGTTTGACATGAAGATGTTTTCGGCCCATTGACTGGATGCTGCTTCAGACGTTTCGGTGGTGTAATCACCACCCTGGAAACCACTTTTTGTTGCTTTTCCATATTCACGCCGAACATTGTGTCTGCCAGAAACAATTTCCTCTGGGATCGGTGGGCCAAATATTTTATCATCTAACGAAATAATGTTACGTTTAGAGGTTACTATTTCAGCTTTTGGGATTCCTAAGCCTTTATCCGTCGCTTCTTTTGTCTGAGGGAACATCTCATCAATGTCTTCTATGCAAGAAGTTAATATCTTGAAGTGGGTTGAAATGTTAAACATGAATATGAAGAATATTGTATTTGATCCTGTCAGATTGCTGTCTACAACGTACGCTGCCACTGAATCAAATACATAGACTAGTTCATATACAGGGAATTTGTCAATGTTTGGTGGTAGCCACATTATTAAGCCAAAGTATTTTAAGTATTCGTCTTTTGAATCAAGAGATTCGTCTATTTCTTTATCTGTTGACGTCAGTACATCGAAATACCTTACGATTATAGGTAGAAAGCCCCATGCAAATAGCACGATCCAACAGACAACCAGCAAAGTCCATATCAGCATGGAAGCCTGTTTTGAAGCCTCCCTGATTATGGGCACATGTCTGCAGGCTGATCCAACTTTTTCTATATATGGTACGAAGTGAGTTTCCAGCGATTCGAGAAGTCGAATCAACTGTTTCCGGTGGAAAACAAAATATGCAGCAACAGTTCCGGTATGGACGAACAGTGCTATTTGGAAAACTAGTCCAGTCACCATTTCAAATTTGTTTCTGTGCTCGTAAAGAGCCATTATTTGAGTAATGATATGTGGTATAAACCAGAAGAGAGTAAGTGTTGTAAATATATTGTAGAGAAAGGATTTACAAGTATTTCGTGCAATATTTGCTGGAGGCAAAATTCCACAGAGGTGTAATGGTTTGAGTTGCATACCCAACAAGTTTAGTCTCTTAGATTCTCCTTCTTGTTCAAATAATGAATCTTCCAATTTGGAATTAATTCCTGTACCGATTGTGCCTGACATTCTCCTGAAATATCTTTAACTTCAACAGATTCTAATTCCCTGTTCACACTTAGCCGAATTTTAGCTCCGGATGATATATAAAGTACTGAACTGAGTGACGTAGATAGAATGAAATTTTGAAATTGGTTATGCTTTTCTTTAATTTTTTCCATTGTGTTACCTACATGGTTCCGTTTTAATCTAACATGCATGCAGATACAATCTAACCTAATATGTGATGAATAGACAGATTCCGATATATCTAACTACTCACTCCATACAAAGAAAATTAATCACTCTGATTAAAGAGTTATACACAAACGTTTATTCAGGCTGCGTGTTACTGTTCTTGGAATTTGCCAATTAATTATTGTATTATTTCATTTGATGTTAATAAGCCAAACTTAGACCGCAAACAGATTGTTCTAGACGTACATATGTTACCCTTTGTAATTTTGTAGTAACACAAAGAGTCGCACAGGAATCCATTGAATGAAATTCGATTTCTTTCATCTATCCTATAATTAATTTGCCGACAAGTACTTGTTATATTGTTTTTCAAAACTATAAGAAAGTAATACTGTCGTACATCTAAGGCAATTTATGCATCAGTATTCCAAGAAATTTGAAATTAACGCTGAAAGTAAAAAATATGAGTGTTTGATGTCTTTGATCAGATTATTAATAGACAGCTTTATACTACGAACTTCTTCCTTTAAAATTGTATTATATCTCGCTTACAATATTTCTGAAACGCAATTGAAATTTTAAACTATAAAAGTTGAGTTTTTTTCTTTTCCAAAATATTTCCTTTAGCTCTCAGTATACATTTGTCGAACACGAAGATCTCGAGACAATGTTACTCATACCACCTAAAACACAGACGGGAACGCGTAGATGCTGTTGGTTTGATAGTCATGGCCTCTGAGTGTTAGGAGCCTCGTTATGCTAATTGCATATAATTTTCATTGACCAGTCATGAGAATTTAAACTAATTGATTATAAAGATTATAATATTATGGAGCTGACTGCAGAAATAATATATTGATTACTATATGTTGTCCTAATTGGTCCATGTCGGAGAGTAACTGGACCATGGGGGCCCAGCAGATAGGCTTTTTGTCCTATTTCCCCTACCCCCTTCAACTGAAGACTAGCAAAATCCAGTTTGCAAAACATTGTAATTTTTTAATTTGTATGATGGATATACTCTTAAAGAACAATTTACGTATTTCAAACTATTTATTAGCTAAACTCAAATTAAAACAGAAACTACGCTAGTTCTGAAATAATATTTTTTTCCCGATTTTGTAAAATATATAATGTAAAAGTGACTACAGTCTGCGGGCCGCCATTAATTATGCCTCGGACGGGAAACTATCTGTGATCGTTGGCTGATAAACGCTGCGTTAGATGATAATGACGTAATGATTATGGCTGTCTACTTATTTGACGCCGAATCTTCGCTGAATAAAACTTATTCTAGGGTTAAGGACACTCCGTTTGTTAATCAATTCAGCATTCACCACTGTCGTAAAATTTATTCCTAGTCCTTGCTACGTGATATCATGTCCCCCAGTTTTGCTTATTCAGCCTTTTTCCGGCTGTCATCCCGAAATTCTGAGGCACTGTTCGTAACAAAATTACATTCGCTTTTTTATAAGTTAAATTGTAGAATAAACTTCAAAATACAAGCTCATTCAAAAAAATAACATAATAAAATAAAATTACTTCAGGAGGCAATGTGAATAAATCAGTTTAAACTTCCCAGTTCTGTTCTTTACGGGAAATTTCTTGATGGATGATATTCGAAGCAACGGGACCGCGTAGTTGACTTCACAAACACTTCAGTATCTGGTCTGCAATATTAATACAACTTTTCTGTTCAGTGTAAATTAAATACTTTGACCTTTAATTAAGTAGAACGGAACAATTACAAATTAGTCAGAAAGAATATTTAATTTGTTGTTCTAGGTTGAACTGTGGAGGAATTATTAGACGAGGAAAGTGAACTTGCGTTGTAGCTTCTGGTAATTACGAGAAACAGGCATGTAGTTGTCCATGCAAATGTGACATACTTACATAGGGGCTATGTGTGTGTGATAAAAAGTCAGTGTTTACTACGTCAAATGAGGGGAGGACGGAAATAATTTGAGCATTTGAGAAGAAGGTGGGAACATCTCATAGAAGGATAAATTATTTATTTGCTCATATTAAATAAATACAGACATGTTATTTGTTTTGGTATAATCTGTTCAAGTTCTTCTAAAGACACAGTAATCACAATATGAGATCACTCTAGAATTGTATTACTTACTTGCAGAAATAAAATTCAAGCGACGCAAAATGAAAGTTTCCTTCGTCCTGTTGAAATGTTGTCGAACGTACCGCGGGACTTGGTCCGTTCTTGTACCCTGCATAGAGTACGTCGCGGTCGATCGTACTTGTTATAGGGCATGGTCAAGCTGAAACTTTCGGGGTTTAAACTAACCTTTCTGTGTCGTGCGACAAAACAAAGAAACAACAATGGAAAAATAAATACAGAGTTGGTCAGCGTTCTCTTTGCCGAATGCTTGGTCGTATAGAGAATATGTACATATCATAAATGATTAACTAATTAACTAACTTTATGGAGCAGAGTACTCTGTGAGAAACTACCAGCATCTTAAATTTTCAATAAAATCCTCGTCTTTTATGAACCTCAAAGTTCCTCGTCGTGCTCACAACAACCCATCGATTTTTACACCGTCCGAGTCATCTTTGCAGAATAAGAAGCCACATTTATCAACTCTCCCATACGTGCTACATACATTGCCCATCTTATTCTCTTTGAGTCCATCATTCTAAAAATATATGGCGAAGAGTACAAATTATAAAGCTCCTCGCTGAAATTTTCTTCCTCGTATTAAATCCTTTATCTTAGGACTAAATAATCCCCTGGCAACCTGTAAAAACCAACACAATAGAGAAAAACATATTTCTGTGTGTTTTAGTATTTACGATTTTTAAACAGGTGACAGGAAGACAATATATTCTGAACTCGTGATAACAATCATTCCCCAAATTAATTTGATCGTTGTTAAATTTATTTATGAATGTAATTTTGATCACAAATAATACATAACATAACACTGCCATCGTTGTGGGAAAAAGTTGCCGAACATTGTATGTTGTTACAAAATTATCACGTGTAATTGTTCGATCCAACAACGAAAATGAAATAACACGTTTTGTCGTAAAAAGAAGAAGAAACATACGCCCTATGCATCTTTCTCGTAATAAAAAAAGTCGGTTTTAGGTCCATATTCTTAAATTACCATACTTGAATTTTATTTATTTATTTATGTTTTGGTTTTTAAGCTGAGCTGTGTATGCAATAAACTCTTCATAATTAAACATTCGTGTGACGACCCAGTTTCAGTAAAAGATTGCCTATTGTAGCAGCACGTACACGACCTATGTTATTATATGCAACCGGTAATAACTGAATTATGAATAAGTGCGTGTTCAGGGCACGTAAATTTCTGAACGCAGATCGATCAGTTAACATCTCTCATATACGTATATAGCCACTATTATGGACGAATTCGCAAAGGAAATATTTTTGTCATTTTGCAGCACACGCTTCTGCAAAAATTAATAAAACTTAATGCAATGTTCTTACAAAAAAAACGCAACATGAATTTTCCAGAGCATTCTGCTTTCAGATGCTTTTATGGTATCCGGCAGTTCATGATTGTGCTCGCAAGAGCTCGCCACTGATCCCTACCTCAACCACAGTAATCTAGTTTACACCCTCACACCGTATTCCATTTTAATATTATCAACACGTTCCATGTAATATTGTCTCTTCAGGAATTTCGATTATAATTCTGTACGTATTTCTCACATTTACTATGCGTGCTTTATGCCCATCCCATCTCATCCACCTTGATTTTACCAATGTAATAATATTTGGTGAGTAGTACAAATTAATCGAGTAACACACACGTTGCAAGTTACTTTTTCAAATACAGTTCCGTGGCCTTTATTTCTGAATATTCCGCGTGCAATAATATCTAGTCATTTATATTTATAACATTGCATAGTGAACAGACTCATGTGGTGTATGTGAAGCAAAACTTTGTTGCGAAATGTTGGCGTTCGTGCAGGAGTGTCGGAGAAGTTAACAGGTGATTTACTTTTGTTTCGATTCTCAGGAATGTTTTATTATACGGCTAGTTCTTTAACATTGTCTTTCTTGTCTTTCCATGACTTCACTTCTCGTTCATCCGTTTCAGGAGTGTAAAGTAGGCGTACACTTTGTTTCCTATCTGAAAAAATAAATAAAGCATTTTATGTCACCGAGATTTTCAAGCCAATATTAATTTATAAGTGTTAGTCAATGTAACACGGTCGATATGAACTCTATGCCCCTGCTTAAGTAAAAAAGTTAAGTAATTCGTTTGATTAAACATATATATTCTCTAAATTTGACTGAACTTTGCCACTTGCAGCGATTATTTAGCGTTGCATGACTACTATTCAAGATGACTACAGAGGGGCGTAGTCTTTTTAATGTACATTACCAGCGTTCCCGTTCAGGTACTTACGAGACTGAAATAAACCTCACAGCAGACCCTACCGGGCTTCGAACCCGGTGTCTTTAGAATGCTTGTAGGGCTGTTTCTAGCTGTTATTTTCTAATATTCATTGCAACCTAAGTCTTACATCAGCGAAAGTTGCCAGCGACACGACGTAGAACCTTCCAGCGGTGAGTATCACGGGTTTCTGAGCCCGCATAATGACAGTCCTCAGGAGTCTGTTGAAGCTGGGTGATCGGTCGTACCACTGGCACCCGAAGGCCGCCCGGCTCACGGCAGCGCTCTGGGACAACAAGGGATTCAAAATATACAGAATTTTTCAAGAATATTTATAAACACATGGTTAATATTCCGTATAACATATAATGCGTGTTTGGGGACATTCTGCGTTGAAGCAACGCAACATCTGAGCCTTGAGTAAAGTTGCTTTTCAATTAATTGAATGGAATAACATTTGCTCATGCAATATATGCCGATTTTTCATCTGTTAACTAACTCAAAAGGCTTAGGCCAACGTGAGAGTAGAGTAAGGGCTCTAAGTAATACGGTGCAAAAAGAGCGGAAACCAAGCAAAAACGAAAATTCTTCCAAAGGAAGTTATTATAGACAGACAGACAGATACATAATTTGATCGAAATCTGTCAATAGACGTGGACAAAGGGATGGACGGACACGTCCGAACTCTTTTTTTTGAAAGGCACAGTAAACTGCTTCTGCATTAGGTTACTGTTAAAATGTGTTCATACATAAAGTGCAAGTGTTTGGTGGTGTGTGAGGAACTCGGGGTGTGTTGTGAATCGCGTCGTACCTGCTGCATGAGTTCATCGCCGTACGTGCATACTACCAGTGGCCAGATGAAGGCCAGTATAACGCTGGTGAAGAACTTGAAACTGCGCTCATCAGCCTGACCCTGAAATGCACAGAATCTTCTTAATTTGAAAAAAAAAACTGAGGCAGGTTAATGCAAGTCTGCAATAGTACATGATGGATTAAACGTTTTTAGAAGATGGCTGTCTTCTTACTTACCGCCGCGAGAACCTCAAATTTCAATCTTCCTGTTTATCATTAAGTAACAATCAGAAAGCTGAGGCAGATGCTGTCTGCACTCCTTCCAAACATTCTCAGTCACCGAACTGATTAAATGATTACGCTAGCAACGAAGAACCTATCAAATAAAATATAAACTGACTTTTATCTAAAAAAAAGGTGGTTCAAAATTACGGCACTGTCCCCGATTGTGAGACGTTTGGTTCAGTCTCGGTTTAATGATGGCGGCGGTAAACACCACTGAAACGTCGGTGATCGTCTATGAGGGTACATCGCGCTACTCGCCGCCGGAAGAAAGCGAATTCTCACAACTTCCTAAAAACAGTAATTTCATAATATCTACGCGATGGGCAAAGTCCAAAAGAACAGTTTGATCACATAAGTATGTTCTCTAAATGTTTAGCGATACTTTTTGATATAAAACAAGTACAAACGAATGTTTATACGTTGATCATGATGAATACCTAAGCGAAGTTACACTGCTTACCAACGCTAATTGGAAAGTAGATAAACACATCATAGCCTCGCTGAAGACAAAGAAGATGAGAATGACTGGACTCAGGAATTTATTCATGTCTTTTGAAAACCTGAAAAATAAACACATTAATCCCTTATATACAGCAGCAGCTAGCAGTAATTAAACATCTGCATGTGGTGTGGTGTTGAGGAGGCAATGCATTGATAAGTTGAATCACAATACAGTCCTGCGTCTACTTACTTGATAAGGGCCTGATGAAATTGAATGCACTCAATCAAATACTGCAGCAGAGAATATTCACACTTCTCGATGTCCGAGGTCTCAGGGTTTTCTTCAGTGTTCCATCGAGGGCTTTTCGTTATATTAAAATCATTAGGATATCTCAGATCAAATGCCTTATCTCTTCTGCCGGGCACAACACTGTACTGTGGCCCTAGCGATCCTGAAATGTGTCCCTGAAAATTACCTTCATGTGGCATTTCTGCGTTTTCAGATCCGGAAACGTAGTTGTAATTACCATCTTCCGTAGACAGATCCACATCTGTCGAGTGCTCCATTGTATTCCGTCGTCGTCCACGCCCGGAGTTGTGTAGTCTCTGCACGAATAAATCGACGTCTTCAAAAGCTGCACACAGTATCTTAAACTGCGTTGTAGTGTGAAAAGCGAAAGCGAACATCAACATGTAACATCCTGTTATGTTACTTACAACTGTATAAACTGCAATAACATGAAACACGTGCATGAGTTCGTAAGTAGGAGACTCGTTAACATTTTCTGGAAGCCACATCGTAAGTCCGAAATATCTTCCCCTGTCATTAGTCAAATCCCTTGGTTCATCATCTGTGAGATATTCCAGATAACCTAAAATACATGGAATACACCCCCATGCAATCTCTACAGTAAAACATAATCCAAACAGTGCGCGTGTGATAACTGCTGATTTTCGAGTAGCTTCCTCGAGTATGGCATTTCGTCTCGTTGGCGATCCGATTTTGTCCATGTGACCGATAAAACCGGCCTCTAGAGTGTCAAATAACTTGATTAATTCTGTTCTGTTCCATACAAAATAGAAAAATATTATTCCTGTACTTAAGTAGCATGATACTTGAAACAAGATTGCAGTTGCTACTTCGATGTCATCCAGACGTTGGCAGAGCGCGATCAGCTGAAGAGTAATTGCAGGAAGAAACCACACAAGAGACAATGCAGTGAATACGTGATACATCATCGTCTTGCAGCGGCTGCCTGAAGTATTTGCGGGCGGCAAAATGCCGGACAAATTAAATGCAATGAGTTGCAAGTGAAGCATTTTCAATCTTCTCGGATGTTCTTCTCCGTGAGAATTAAGTATTTGATTTTCTCTCTTTTCCGACATTTCAACTTATCTTGATTCCTCAGTTGTCGTTTAGACTAAAAATGAAAAGGGTATAAACGCCTTATTAAATTTTTATTGCTACATATTTATTGGCGTTTGCAAGGCGTGAACCTTTGGTCCCATTATTGCACAACGATGGGTTCCAAAAATGGAACTTAGGTCTTTATGTTGCCAAAGACGCTACAGACAGACATGGACGGTCCATACAGTGTCCTCCGCTTATGCCAGAGCGTGAACAAAGCCGAAAACTAATTTTTAACAACGACTGTGTGCACATGACGTTTTGAATTGCAAGTTGTGTGTATAAAAACCAAACATTCTTCAGCTTGCAAACATTTCTAGAAGTTACTTTATTAATATTACTGTTTATCTTTGTCAGATTCTGTAATAATTTACGTAATGGACACACGCTTGTAACTACGTACGGATCGTAGTAATGAAATACACTTTGTGTTCTCAGAATGCGTAACTAGATTTGCTGTAAGTGAAAGATCAAAGCACACATTTGTGTTCTATGAGTAGTTACATTAACTTCACTTTAAAAGGAAAACAATGTCATGTTGTGTAGGGTACCGTAAAAAGGACAGCATAACTGAATCCACCGGAACGAAACACTGGCTCCCAATTTTCACACAATTATTACTTTGAAATTGTTCTCATATAAAAACGTTACGTGTAACATCTCTGCATATTTTAGGAACTGTGACTTCGTAACCGGTAACCAACTTATCGCTCTGGGGCAGTGGATGAATATATATATATGTGTGTATATATATATATATATACATACACATAACATCAAATAAATTGTTGTCTTCCCCTCGTTTTTTCTCCCTTCTTGGTAGACTGTTGCTAGAAGACCATATGTGTGATTTTTTTTTAAATCAGCGATAGGCTGTAGGCGATACAAAAACATAGGCGTATTTCTCCAACATAATATTTATGTATTGACTCTTACCTGCTTATCTCCTTATTAATAAAATAAGCGAGCTGAATGCAATATAATGTACGTAATTTCCACAAATCTGTCCAGAATACACGAACATGTGTTTTAAACACTTTTATTTCTTTCCTACCGATTCGGTTGTTTAGATTCAGAGGGTCTTGATTTTTGTATTACAAACTCATCAATAAATCCAACGTTTATCTTACGAAATATGGTTGGTTGTTGATCACTTTTAAGTACTGATTTCGATTTTCCCATCATATTCGACGGGTTATTTTCTGGTGCTATATAGTGCGACAGAGTGACTTGTGTGGTATTTGCACAAAGCATATCATTATGCTTTTCTGTGGCTGTAATTAATACAAAAGATAAAGATTGCTGTCTTATTTTCTGTGGCTCTAAATAATACAAAAGATAAAGATTGCTGTCTTCTGTGTTATTACGAGCACCTCTGAAACGTCGGTAAACGTCTACCAGACTACACGGCGCTACAACCCAGAACACAGCCATCTAAATGCATACGGACGTTTTGGAGGAACATCTTGCCTTCATATGAATATTGCGTACGCACTCTGAGAAACTGAAGGCCTTGAACCATCCTTACATTGCGATAACGAGATTTAATCACGCTGAGAGCGATTTTCTGTTATCCTGAGCAGATGAACGCCTTAATGACGTGTTAATGCACCGTCCAAGAAATTCTAAAGAATGTGTAGTGCATTAAACTAAACAGAACTAAAGCTATAGAAGTGGATTGAATGAGAAGAGAAATTTTTATTTAATGAGTAAATTACAAATAACGTATGCACGTTTTAAAACTGCAAGATGTAATCTTTCAGAATTTTAAACGTTGTCACGCTTGTTTGTGCTTTCTTTAGTTATCTACCTGGTACAGCTATAAAAAATAAATGATAAGGGACGCTATTTACAATAAATTATAAGACTGTATCTTCAAAATTTATTAACAGTTCCTGAAATCAGTTATTTTTTATGTTTCTATAGATCCTACATGGTGTATTTGTAATTTATAGTCATTACTCGTTTTGCACAGTGCAATTATAAATTATTCTCATCGGACAACAAGACATTTTTGCTGTTCTATTATTATTGAAGTAAAACTGAATTTCTATACAAAGTTTCAAAACAGAAAGTACAACTGTCTGACAATTTTGGACTCACTTCCCACACTTATTAATAAATACAACGAATGTGCTAATCTATGATTAACTGCTCCTCTAGTAAATTTTATGACTCCTGCATGCGCTTGAGAATGGTGAAATAGGCGTACACCGTGTTTATTATCTGAAAACAAACAAACAAACAAACAAAAAGGTTAGGTAAGAAGGCGACAGACGTATATAAAACACGCGATGGTATGTAAATAGTTCATGTTGACCATAGAATGAACATAACATTATACCGGACAGGGAGTGTCTGTCTTTGATCTGCAGTGTGGAGTGTTACTAGCGAGTACACTTCGTTAAACTAATACAAATGCAAGGATGACTTAAGTAGTCCCGTAAAACAGTTACTAATGATATTAATAAGAATTATGGAGAGGTTATATTTGAAAATACTGTAAAATCAAATAAGTAGTTAATTAGGTAGCTAAGTAACTGCGAACAATAGCTAATTCCATTGAGTAGAGTACTTTCGAAAAGCTAGTAGTCGCTGAACTGACAAAGAATTTCCCAGCCTTTAATGTAAGTCGATGGCTTATTTTCTTTGTTCACAAAAATCAACCACTGGACGCTGGATCCTGTTTCAACTGAACCCAGTTAATAGCCTCACAACCTACTTCCTTCAGATTCAGTTTAATATTATACTTCCGTCTATGCCTAAATCTCACAAGTGATTCCTTTCTTTTAGGTTTTCCAACGAAAATGTAAACGAATTTTAACCTTCTCCGTGCTTACTGCATGTCCACCTATCTCATAATTCTTGATTAATTTCCCTAATAATATTTTATGAAACATACAAACTATTAATAACCTTACTGTGACATTACGCACAACTTCCTGTTACTTCCCTCTTAGACCCAAATATTCTTCTCAGCGCTTTTTCTAAAGGCTCACAATCTGTGTTCTCCACCCTAAGGTAGGAGGCGAAGTTTTACACACGATTAGAATATCGGGCAACAGTACGAGACAGATGTATTTTCATCTTTATGTGTTTATATAGGAGACGGAAAGATAAAATGTAAGTAATATTTCAAGTTTTAATGACGGCGAATATGAATATGCCGGTCTTCTCTGATATTCTTCTTTGTAGTCTGGTATAAGCTGGCAGGTGTTTCGGATATGTTTACTGCCTCCATCATCAGGGCGAAGAGTGGACCAGTTTCTACCAGACTACAAGCCGCACAGTCATCTACATCCTGGGAATACAGATTCTGAACTGAATTGTATTAAATATTCCCACAATTCGGCATATAATTGAAAAGTTCTCACTGTAACCCTTACATCAGCGAAGGTCTCCAGCGACACGGTATAGAATTTACCAGCTGTGAACCTGACAGGTTCCTGGGCACGAAGTATGAACATACGCAGGTTCTGTTTGAACTGCTTCGAGCGGTTGTACCAGCCGCACCCATAAGCTGCCTTCTTCAGTTCCAGACTCTGTGAAGTGGAGTCACGACTTGAAATGGCAATATTTTATTCTAATGATAATTTTACAACCATAATTATTTTTATTCTGTGAGATAAATTAGTAGTCATGCGTCTAGTGTCTGTTTTAAATACATGTTGCATATTGTGATGTGAAAATAAATGTCACCTGAGTTGTGATATAATCACCGCACAGACAGATCATCAGCGGCCAGGTACAGACGTTTCCGACGCTGACAACAGATTTGATAAGCCCCTCGTCATCACCCTAAAACAGTAAATTGAAGTAATATTTGAAACAGATCTGAGACAGAGCTAGTCTCCAAACAGATTATTTTAAACTCGACACTAACACGACTGATCGCCGTAGACAATGTTATATCAAACACTGAGGTACTCGGCTGCCTACAGTAAAACCCGTCTAAACCTGATTTTGTATTGAAAGGAAACTTGTAGATCTGTTTATGGGAAGAAATACGGTTCCGAAAATATGGAGTAGACTGTAATGATGCATTACCTCTAATAAACAGAAGGTGTTCAAGTCGGAAGCTGTGTGTTGCTCATTAGCATACCATCTATCCTATTCTATTATTTCTGATCCGTGGTTTGTATCATAAGTACATAAGGTAAGCAATATTCGTTTAGAAGAAAGTTTAAATACCTTCTTGAAACGGAAACATTTTGAGGTTTGCGATTTGGACTATGCGTGGTAACATACGTTCGTTTTATGCACGTAAGTATGCGTGAATTATGCATGTATTTAAGTACCTACCATATTACGAGTCGCTGATTAAAACGTTACTTCCCGACATATTGCGTGCCCCCAAGAAATTTCTTGTTTCATGCATCTCATGTAGCATAAGCAGTAAATGGATGTTTACTCACCATAACGACTTGAAAAACTGCCATACACATCATAGATTCACTGATCACGAAGTACACCAGAAACACGGGACTCAAGAAGTCTTCGACGAGTTTGCAGTAGCTGTGAAAAGACACAAACGTCGATATATATAAGATGTTGGTTCTCAGTCACAAATGTCATATCAACATAGACGTGACTATAAAAATGTGAGATTTGTCTAATTAATACTTACGCTAATATTTCTTGGTGATATTTTATGCAGTTAATAAAATGTAGATTCATTTTCTCCTCGATGGACGCCGTCTGTGTCGAAATGTCCACGTTCTGACGTTCAGATGTCTCACTCTGAGTCATCATGTCACCATTAGAACGTGGCTGAAGTAACCGAATATTTTCAGGATTTTTCTTTGCGTTTAAGAATCTAGGTTTGTCTCCCTCAACATGAGCAGCATTTTCACCAAAATTGGGCACAATCGGACCAGAATCGTACATGAAATAATTGTAGATTGTAGGGCTCATGAAAATACGAAACCCTGTTTGAGTGTGTGTTTTCTCTTCATTTTCACCCGATTCCATCTCATATACTTTTCTCATGTCCTCAAAAGAAGAAGCCAGTAATTTTAAATGTGTTGATATATGGAACATGAAAAAGAACAGAATCACATTACAGCCCGTGTAATGACCGACAACTACATAAATTGTTAGCACTTGGCACAAATAAATTATTTCGTACATAAAAGGTCCGGACACCATTTCTTTTGGAAGCCATAATATGTAGCAATAATAATTCCATGCATTTTCCGACATAACTTGGATATCTGCTTGTGCTGGGGCATCATTGTATTTCCGAATTAAAGGTAAACAGATCCAGCCAAGAATAACTGACGAAAAGATAAACATTAGAATATATGTTATGGTCACAGACCGCTTCGAAGCTTCTTTAATTATTCGGCGTTTATTCTCTGGAGTAACAACCTTTTCTATGTGCGGAATGAAATTAGTCTCCATCATGTCAAATAACAACGCCAGTTTCTTTCTTCTGACTATGAAATAGGAAGTCAGTATTCCTGCTTCAACAGCTGTCGTTATCTGAAATAAAATTTTCGTAACCATGTCGATGTTTCCCCAGTATTCGTAAGCGGCAGCTACCATCGCGTACATTTGAGGAAAGTAAAGGGAAATGTACACGGTCGAGATTGTGACGAATAGACTGTGCTTCCATGTCCCCTCCTCAGGCGGAAAAACACCGAAAAATCTTATTATTTTTAATTGCAGTCTCAACAAATCGAGCTTCGTTGAGTTTCCTGCTTGTTCGCATTCAGATGTTTCCCTTTCTAGATCGTCGGAATCCATTGACTCAGGAAGAGTAGACCGAATAGTCCTTTCTGTTTGGGGTTACTGCTACGAGTATTCTTAGCCCTTCGGATCTTCCCATGACCTCACTTTGTTGACTCAGAAAGTTTGCAGAATCAATTCTTGCTACATACATACAAGAATTTCCGTTACCACATACATTATTTCATTGTCAAACCACAAAGTACATATTTACAATTTTAAAGTTCCTGTTTTCAGTCCGAAGTAATCATACAGAAACATACTCATTTTGTTCTTGGTCAGGATGTAGTAGAGTTTATCAGAACTTCTCTTATAGTTAATTAAACACAAGAGAGCCTTTATTGAGAGCTAATAGTTGTCGAAGGTCCGGTGTAATATTTTATATCATGCTACTCGTTAAAGTGAGGGGTTGTTGGCCCCCTGTTTAGCCCAGAGCTGAAGCACCACGTCTTGCCGGCTGTCCACTAGTGCGCATTTTCAGTTCCCTTCTGTACGTGGAGGTCATCTCTTCCATGGTGACAGAAGATGTTACCATAGCCGTTCCTACAGGAGTGATGGGCCCGGGGTGAAGTAGTCTATGCGGACCTCCCCTTGAGAACTTTACACTATGTACAACAAAAAACAAGTACCTGAAATTTTCTAAAAGTCCTAAACCATAAGTGATGGGTTAAAAATTCGACATTTAAAATCTCATTGTCCGTATGTGGGTGACGTATGGCGTACCGCGGCTCGTTTCCGCTGAATTTGAAGTTTCTTTGACTGTAGGACAATAGGCGTCGAGTTTCGGCGTCGTTTTGTAAGTATTCCGAAGATCTCCGCTATATTCGGAATCCTAAGTTGGCTTCTACGACGATAAACGGTCATCAGC